GCCAATGCTATGGTTTAATTGAAGCAGCTGCTCGATTCTGGCAACTCGTGCCCTACGCCAACAGGGTTCTTACACAGAGGCAGACATTATTTGCAGGGCTGCAATGACAGCGAAGCAGGCCGTTGGACATTTGTAAGCTGCCTGGGGCTTCGTCGCACGCAATCACTGAACCCCGAACCCCAAAGCCTCTAGCCGCCACCAACAATCCGCAACTTGTGCTTGCCAAGGGAGCTGGAAGAAGAGAAGGCGTGGAGAGCTTTTGTTTAACAACTGTAATGAAGAGTGTTGATAATTACATAGATTCCTGCAACCAGGCTTCTGGAGGCTCGCTCCGATGGCCCAACCGGGGAGGGTGAGGGGTACATTTTGCAGGCTTTGGCAAGTATCTGAGCACCTTGCTGTAGTCAGACCTCCTTGGAGGGTCAGGGGACTCTGTTGGTTATCCCGGGTTGCTGTTCAGGAACATAATTCAAGTCACTATATTGGGGAAACCATATTTTTCGTGTATATATATATATTTATACCAATTATGGTAACTTAAAGTAAATTCCTTAGCAGCAAACCGGTATCTGGCTTGCACGGGTTGCAAGTCTACTTGCCAGGTCCGTCTGACTCAGAAAGTAGGGCCTCTTTGAACCTTTGCAGTTTTGGGTTTAGGGTTTGGGGGTTAGGGCTTAGGGCTTAGGGTTGGGTACAACAGGCCAAGAAACGGGATTTACTCACTGAGTGCCATTGGACTTGCTTGTGTTTCCTGCCAACAGGATATTCTGAGTGTCAAGCTGCGTCTGTTGTCGGTATGTTGTCAGGGTTCGGGGGTAAGTTTACAGCGCCTTAGGGATCAAAAGCCAATGTAGGAAATATCTACAAACCTTAGGGCCCAATTTAGGTTTTCTTTGTTTGCTCGGACACCCAGGGATATTTATACTAGGACATCAAAGGGTTACTGCTGGTCATTGTCCAGACGTCTACATGGCCCACCTATGAGGCCAACGTAACGCCCTCTACAGGGGTTTCAGATATAGGTTATACGGATTTATTTTGGGTTTAGGGTCCAAGTCTCCATTTCGATTTCCAGGTGTCTGTCCATGAGACTCTGCCTTTCAAGAAACGCTTACCACTCCCCATTCCTGTTACTACTACTGTTGCTAGTTTCCGTTGTACCATTAAGGTCGTTAAGTGTTTTTGCGGTGGGCTTTGCTTTCTGAAGCGTGATGTGGCCTGAAGCCCTTAACCTCAAACCTTACTGTAGAGAAGCGGAGAGGAGTACCTCAACAACCTATGCAAGCATCCTAAACCCTAAACCCAAGCGATCTGCATGCAGCTTGCTCTGAACACTGCGCAGCTTTTGTTGTCACGGATACCTGCCGTGGAAAAGGACAGGTTCAACATTGCTTGAAGTCTAATAGCTGGATACCGTTTGGGCCTTTATGGGCAGCAGTGAATCAGGAGCATAAGCCAGGCCCTGGAAGTGCGGGTTTAATGAGCCAGCGTGCAGTTCACCAACATGCGGCCCAAAATAGCAGATCGTGACCCTGTGGTTTGTTGCACCTGTCTGCACTCAGCAAATCCTCGGCAAATGTGTATTCTCCACCCTGCCCTCGTTCCTCAACCCAAATAAATAAGCTTTGCCATGAGCACCATCAACAGGTTTTGGGTTACCCACATTCTCTAGCAAAGATTTCAATTCTGATATAAAATATGCAACGCAGGCGTAGAGCATGAGCCTATCTCAAGCACATTCCGGAACTGCCCCGTCCCATCTCTACAACCCCCCGTTGGAATCCCCAAAACATGTTCTGGGTGAGGGGGGCCTCAGTGAACACGTGAGCCAGAAGTATACTTACTAAGCACCCTGACCCTAAACTAAACCCTGAACCCTGAACCCCCTTAACTAATGTAATAGTTCACACTTTCTTGTCCATTCCTTACTAAGCCCCACTCACACTCCAAACACCTAAACCCTAAGCCCCTACACCCTAAACCAAAAGAAATCCGAACCATGAATTCTCTAGCTATGGCGGTGCTTCAGCTGTTGGCGTTAGCCTCTGCGGCCGCCGTGCCGCAGATGCCGAATCTGAAGGGCAGCTCATCGACGAACTTGGACCTTTTATCAACAGTTCCCGTTGAAATTGATTGTGACCCTAAGGTTTGCTCATGTAGCCCCAACTGGATAACTGTGGAAGGTAAACAACCCAGCAAAGAAGGCAGCAAGGAGGGAAGCCAGGAACGAAATCAGACTAAGTCTAGCACTGATGGTTTCCATGCCGGTAGAAGATGTAGCTCATTGCTGCTATCAATATGGTAGTTAAATGCTACTGCTGGCATGGGCGAACTTAGTCAGTCTTCGGAAGCATACTTGTAATTCCAATAAGCCATATACAAACACAGTAACCCCCCTATCTAAGCTACTTACTAGCCCCCCCCTTGATTGTCCAAGCACTATTGCTGTGATTGGTGTTCGCCCTGTGCAACGGACATTGGGAATTTCAGTCTAGAGCTTCATTTTTTTGGAGGGGCGAGGAACTAAGATAATGAGATGAGTTTTGCAACCCCAGCCCCCCAAATCAGGGCCCTACAGCTATACGCCACTAGACTGGGGTCCTAACTTTTCCGGGTTGGGGTTACCAAAGCCCTTCTATTCTGAATGGGAAGTCCGAGAGTTTAAAGCTTAGGGTGTAACAAGAGTGCCCAACCTGCATGTTAACCTGCCGGGTCTGCACTCTGCTAATTCTTTACACCTCATTTGGAGGGTCAGCGGGACTCAGTGGGTAGGCGAATAATGGGGATAAGTGGAGTCTATTTTATGGTTTATAGAGGCCGTTAGAGGCCGTAAGTATACTCACCGAGATTCGCTGAGCCCCGTTGCTACCCCAGTAGTCGTTGGTGGCCCGGGTGACTTTACCCTCACAGTATTGTGTTGCTATCCATCGCTTGTGGTCTCACCGCCAAACGACTGTGCCCTACAAGTACAATTCTGAGTATCGGGTGTCAGGGGTGATGGCATCCGTTAAGCCCTAGACCCTAAACCCTAAACAGAATTGTTCTTGGGTGGCCCCCAGCGCCACCCCTCAAAACTCAGGTCCTATAGCAGCGCAGCCGTATGGGAGCTTCTCAAAACTAACTCCCTCATAATCACTAAAACGGACCCACGCGCTCCCTTTAAAATCCCTCTGTAACCCCCCAAACGCCTCCCACTTTGAGAAACCCCAAAAGAAAATCAAATATGGCTGTCCTGCTCAGTAACATACCGAACCCATGGGCCCTGCACCCGAAAGCCTCAGCCGGCTTTAAGCCCCAAAGCCAAAAACCTCAAACCTAAACCCTAGCGAAAGAGATGATACATATAGGCAAGTACGTCAGACTACTGTATCGTAGCAGGAATAAGTAAGGACATGCGTATCTATGTATGTGTATATACATATTATGTGTATATCTGTTTTTGCGCCCTGAACATGGCTAAGCCGTAAACTCTAAACTCTCTTGATGGTTGCCAAAACCCTAAACCCTAAGCCCCAAACCCAAAGCCCTACGCCCTAAACCCTAAGCCCTAAACCCTAAGCCCTAAACCCGAAACCCTAAGCCCTAAACCCGAAAGCCCAAAACCCAAAACCCTAAGCTCTCTTGATGTTGCCCTTTCAGGCATGCCCAGTGCTCGCGGAGGGCCACCTTGGCGGAAGGCCACAGAGAAGGTCTTCAACGAGGTCTGCTGGGGATTATGATTTAGGGTTTAGGATCTAGGGTTTAGGGTTTAGGATTTCGGGTTTAGGGCTTAGGGTAGGGCTTAGGGTTTAGGGTTTAGGATTTAGCGTTTAGGAGTGAAGGTTTAGGGTTTAAGGTTTAGGTTTTAGGGTTTAGGTTTTAGGGTTTCGAACTGCTCCGAGCCTCTTAAAAAGCCTTTGAGGGTTTAGGTCGTCTACCCTGGGTTGCAACGTTGAAGGTGTAAGGTTTAAGGTCTAGGGCTTAGGTTTAAGCTTGAGGGTTTAGGGTTTAGACCCTAAACCCTTTTCAACCAGGCCCTTGTTTTGTGGCTCATGTGTAGTACTTGGAGCGCCAGGCAGACTTAGAAAGGAAAGGGGAGGAAACCGGCTAATACGATATACAGTAGCTATCCTCTAAACTGCTTGGAGGGGGTTACATAGGGGAGCATTAAAGGGGCCATTAAGGGGGATATTAGGATTTAGATTATGGCTCAGGTGATTAGGGTTTAGGGTATAGGGTATAGGGTTTCAGGGTCAGGGCGACTCTGTAAGGAGGTGCATATGCTGGACAGCAGTGGCGTAAACAACCACGGTTTTCAGGTTTCATAAATATACTTACCAAGTCCTCCGAACCCTCCAAGTACGATCATAGAGGATGTGGACTGGGTGGAATCATTTTCCTTTTCAGTCTTAAGTTAATACTCAATAAGGAAGATGAATAGCAAGGAGACTGTAATGACCCGGACCCGTAAAATTGGGACCCTATTGTAGTCAAATAAGTGTCATAGGCTCTGTACTATAGAGGTTGGGTAACTAGGATCCCCTTCCCCAGAATCCTGAACCCTAAATCACATACGTCGTACCCCCAGCCTCGAACCAGTGGAATGGAATTTCCGGGTTGTTGTCGGGCTGTAAAAAGCCTTTTGCGACAATTGGTAGGTTTGCCGGATATGGGTTTAGGGTGTAGGTGTAAGGGACTGGTGGGGGCTTGAGGGATCTAAGAAATCGTCACGGGGTTCCTCAGGATTTGGAGTGTCTCCAGAGCTCCACATCCCGGACCTGTTGGTGGAGATGTTCAGACTACGGATTCCTAGATCAAAGCCCCTGATGCATGTGAAAACTGGACTTTGCAGCCGTACTCTCTGGACCTTTACCAGCCCCAACACCACAAATCCCAGACCTGATCCGACCCCCCCAAGCCACCTTCAATCAGACCTTCTGTGAACCCTGAGACCGAAGCCCCAACATGCCAAACCCAAAAACCTGAACAGTAAAGCGATGATTCCCCCGAAGGCCTGCCAGATGAATCGAGGGCAGCCATCAGTTTTCTGCTATCCGGACATGAAGGAGCTGCTTGAAGGCGGGTGTGCAGTTTAGGTTTGAGCATTTAGGATGTAGGCTTTAGAGTTCAAGCTGTACTTGAGGCTTCAGGGGCGCTGGGGGCGACTGTGGGAACATACCGTAGGGTTGTTGGGGGGGGGGAGTATGGAGTTCAGGTTAGAAGCACTACTTTTTGTAGTCTTCACTCGTCAGCTTCATACGTAGAGTATACGTATAAGGGCCCAACAGACTCTTGCAGTGACGGCGCAAGTCCCCCTGGCTCGTTGTGACAATTGGTAGGCATGATAATGAGATTGCAGTATGCAGAATGACCAGGAGCGCAGGGTCTCAAGAGATCAGCATGACGGCATCATACAAAGGCACCAGCAAACAGATTAGGTTGGGCAAAGAGGGCTTAGTCCTCCCAGAGAAGAACATTGCTCAGTGAGGAACAGGGGCGGCGACTCTTCAACAGGGCAGTCATAAGCAGCGGACAGCAGCGCCCAAAGTAAGCGGCATCAGAAAGTGCATTCCATCATCCCCATATACACTCAGCAACATCAAAGCGCACTCATGTTGCAAGCCCCTTCTCTTGACAGGCCTATCCAAAGCTTCAGAATTTGGGGCTGACTTCACCAGCGAGACGCTCCCGAGCGCACGTGCAGTAAGAGACTTTCAGGGTTGCACCCTTAGGGCTACAAGTTCTTGGGTTTCTGGTGACTTTATCTAAGTTGTGGTGAACCCCAAAACCCGAACCCCCAGCCCACCACCACCACCACCACCACCACCACCACCACCACCACCACCACCACCACCACCACCACCACCACCACCAAGGTCTGGTATATAGGGTTTATGGGTATCATCTCCAATACTGGAGAATCAAATGGAAAAGGTATTGGAAATGAAATGGAGTCGGGTTTATATAGGGGATTGTATTAATATGAGCCCAGAACAATGCCTGCCTAACGCGCTTCAAGTACTCGTAGGGAACGTTGTTTGTGCGAGGGCACAATTCGGAGGACTTGATTTTATGCGTTTGTTCGCAGCTGTGTGTGAGCCCAGTAGTGCTCTATGAATGGGGCTGTCGCTTCTGGCGATGGACTGTTTTGCACCGTTCGGGATACACTGAGTACCGGACTCCGACAGCCTCTGTGTTCGGAAGTTGTTGTACAACTGTTGGCTCCCGCATGATGGCAACATCTCCTCCCTGCACAGTATACAGTATATCATTGTGGATCCAAATAGCCTACTGTAGCTAATATTCACTAAATCTCATCCTAAACCCTACAAAGGGTATGGAAGATTGCCGGCCTAAGCTCCAACCCCTAAACACTCCGAGACCTTCAGTCTTGCCCGCGTATTCCTGACACGACTGTGGCTATACTTTTCGTTGATCAGATGAAAGATCTTGGGGGACCCTGACCCTAAACCCCTAAACCCTAAGCACGAGGATTTGCTACTTCGTCTGACCTGTAGGGCTCCTCATCCTATGAGCCCCCTAATGTTTCGACCAGCCGTTGTCCAGCGCATGGGTGGGCTTCTTGACAAGTAAGCACTTAGCGACTTCCAAGCACCCCTAAACCCTAAGCCTTAAATCAAGCCTAAACCCTACACCCTTAATTAATCGCGTGGCATACTGCTTGTCTCTGCCGTAAGATGCAAGCCCTGGACCCTGAGCCCTAAGCCTGGCATTCGGCTCCACTTCACCCTGTATGAACCCCAAACTCCGAACGAAGAGACCCACCTTGACTGCGTCAAAGGGTCTGAATCACAACAACTTTAGTCTAGGAGCCTAAATCCTAAGCCGTCATCCCAGAATCCTATAACATACTTGCTGTGGTGATAGTAAGCCCCAAGCCCTATACTATACCCAGAAGCTATAATCCCCAAACCCTAACCCCCAACCCCCCGAACCCTAAACTTACTGGGGGGTAGTAGGGAATAAAGGAAATTAATCCCCATGTAACTCCTGTATAGTATCTTCCGTTATCTCCTGCTAACCCAGAGCAAGTAGACCCTCCACCCCAAACCTTAAGCCCTATAAACCCTAAGCTCAAACCCTAAACACTCAGCCCCAAACTGAGGTTCCTATTAGATCTTCATGTCGTGGTTGAACAGCTGCTCGGGTGGCCTTCTGCGTGGACCGGTGTGAGCCAGGCGCGGGACGCTGTCCTCGAAGTTCTGCGGAAGCACAGCGCAAAGGTGATGTAGGGCTAGTGGGGTTCCGGAATAAGGGTTTAGGATCTAAGGTGTAGAGTTCATGGTTTAGGCTTCAGGATGCAGGAAATGGAGTTAATGGCTGAGGGTTTAGGATTTTGGGTTTTGGGCTTGGGATTTAGGCCTTAGGATTTAAGATTTACAGTTTCTGGCTTAGGGTTTAGGATGTGGGGCTAAGGGTTTGGCGTTTAGGGTGTTGGGTTCAGGGTTTGGGATTTCGGGTTCAGGTTACAGGAGGCATCGTTTATTCGTATGTACTTAGGGCATAGAGGGTTGCTCACACACACACATACTGCTCTGGGGGCCACATGTATACGAAATATATACATGGACCTTTTCTACAACAGACTCAAGCTACAGCCAGGTAATATCCTAGATTATAGCTCCTGATAGCTACTATTTCTCATTACTGCATGAACGACACTAAAGCCTCGATATACCTGCCAAGCATCATACCGAGGTGTCCAGGGGTTAGGTGCTCGCGGGCTTGGGTTTAGAGGTTTCGGGTTTAGGCTTCACGGGCTTACGGCTAAGGAAAGCGTACCGCGCGAGCGCAAAATTTGGGATATGAGGCTGAGCGCTTAGAATGTTGAGGCTTAGGGTTTTGGAGCTCCAGAGCAATCAGAACCTATAACTAACACGGGCTTGGGCTTTCTTACCTAAGCACTAAACCCTAAGGCGTGGGAGTTGTCTCTTGGCCCTAAACCCCAAGCCCTAAACCCTAAGCCTTAAACCCTGGACCCTAAGCCCTAAACCGTACAGGTTCTGGCATCGAGGCACCAGTGGACAAGTCACCTGGCACTTTCAGGAGTTTCTCAAAATAGCGGCACTCAGAGACCTCAAGGGATACATGGGAAGAAATGGGGGACTATGGGTTTCCTCATAGGGATTCTATAGGTCTGGCTTTGAGAGATGCCCTTTTGGCGAGTTGAGAGGTGGCTAGTTGAAATTTCTCAGGGCCAAGCAGCAAGAGCAAAAGCAAACACTCTTTCACAATCCTCCGTGACAGGCTTGCGAAAGAGGAGCATTCGTCTTAGAAGCTCCGACATGTATTGGGTCTTAATAGCTGAGCTCCGTAAGCTGGTCCTGGAGCTTGGAAGTAAGCCAAGCTGAAAGCGGAGGTGGCTTTGGACGTTGAAGTTTTAAAGCCAGGCAGACTCAATTAAGGAACCAACTTGGTAGTTTCCAAAAATAGGGGGGCCCCAATATAGACCCCAATATACTATAATCCTTATTATGGGGACCCCCAAAAAGGTACCCATAATTTTGGGAAACCCCCACTTCAATGTCACTTGAGCAGCAGTCGGCGCGGTTCTCCGTTATTCTTCAGCACCTCGGGCTCATGCATGATGTGGTCTCCCAAGAAACGAGCTACGCTAATCGTACTGTTGCTACTCATGGTCTTGCATGCCTCATCTTTGTACTAAAGTCTCAGGGTCCTTGGGCTCGGGTACAGTACCCGGATTCACGTAGGATACACAACACACATTGGGTTTCAAAGAGCTGTCATTCTGGCTCCGTGAAGTGTGGATCAGTGTATTCAAACTTTGAAACTAGGCACATCGAATCGAATCCTACATGAGCCTCAAGGGTAACCTCCGGCAAGCTATTCTGATTCCAATCCCCAAGCAATACCAGGACTTAGAGCTCCCTCAGGGCACTTTTGCCGGAAACCCTCTGGTAGTCTGCCCGTCCTGTGGCCAAGGACCCTACTGCGACAAGCTACTTGGTGATTCACCCATCTGGAAACTCATCTGCGCTCAGGTAAGGAAACTGCGGGGACTGCTACAGGGGACCATTATCTTGAGGTTCTCAGGGGGGCACGACTATTTCCACAAGGGCCCTCCCATACATACCACCAAATATTATACTTATATTCTTTATTCCAGGACTCCAGGAGGCAAAGGGGACCCTAATTGTTGGAAACCTCCATATCCCTACTTTTGTTTCAGTTTGTTTGAAGGTTGTCTCGCTGGTCCCCTAGCGTGGTTCGCACGAATTTCGTTATTTGAAGGGGCTTCTCGGCGTCTTAGGTCTGCAGCCTCAAGTTTTTGGAGGGAGCTTGGGATGAGGTTTAGGGGTTTTGGTTTAGGGTTTACAGTTTTAGGGGCAACTATGAATCCAAGTTTCCTCCGCAAGTCAAGAAAAGCTCTTAGCGCGAATCTCTTGCAGACCCTCCCGGGAGGTTCATAGTCAGCTGTTAAGCTCTGACATGGGGTTTCAAACCGTGGGGGCCTTGTGGAACCCAGGGGTGTGTAATCATCAAGGGATGACGATGGGATTGCCGTGAGCAAGCTTACATATGCACCATTGTAGCTTCACGGCCTCCTGGTTCTGTTCGTTGCTAAGAAGGTTTTGGTAATCCCAACCCCCAATAATACGGAACATATAACATGTATTGATAGCCATAGGGTGTTGGATTTTGGAGGGGAAAGGGCAACCCAAATCCCTCATGATTCTCGCGTTGCAGCAAAAAAAACAGTGCAGGTCTGGACCGCGGCCTCTGACACTCCTACCCCACATCCTACCGCTATCTGCCTGCGTCACATGAAGATCATGCAGCCAAGAGGCATGCGCTGCAAAGCAATGTCCCAAACCCTAAGCACTTCATTCTCGAATCCCTAACCTAAAACCCTTAACCTTAGTCCTCACATATCCTAACCCTAAGCCCTAAGCCCTCTAAGGTATGCGCCACCTTTGGTGCGCAAGAGCTTCATCACTCCTAGGTCTACCATGGCACAGGTTGAGAAGGACGGTGCTTCTGTCTCATGATCTGTTGGAGAAGTGGGAATGGGTTTTACGGACTAGTACAGGACTAGGATTGTATTTTCATTATTACCATGTTTGATAATGCTATTCTTATTATGGGAGATCACACATGGACTAGTACAGGTATCCCTCCTCCCATTCCCGGCCAAGTGTGGGTGATTTTTCTGGCTCAGGGTGCAGGATTTACGGACGCTGGGATTATATGCGACACCAATCACCTGCAGCTTAGTGGGTTTTGCTTAAGTAGTAGGTATACCGGTATACCGCATAAAACTGTATGCAGGTTATCGGGGTTACAGGTAGGATGCTTAAAAGGCTTGGCTTGGGTTGGAGTTGGATCAAAACACTCAGTGCTCGGCGGGCGTCGCGAGACTGGAGTGAGTATCTCTGGCGTATGTGTTCTGCTTCGCAGGGTCCAGGTACCGAAATATTGGGTTTTTAGGTGCCCAAATCCATCAGATAATAGTACTTGGCACCAAAAATCCGATTATCTGAGTATTTGGACTCTTTAGGCAGCGTCGGCAAAGCAAATTCGGAGATAGATGTGGTTAGCCCCTGGATGAGTTATACACACAAAAAGGAACTTCGTCATGCGCCTATAGTTTTGAACTGCCAAGGACACTCCACTCTGTAAACTGCCAGAGCTCACACTCCTGAGCTCATAGGACTCTTCACCCCATGAATCAGCACAGCACGCAAGCAGAGGACCAGCCTCATGTGGCAGCAGCTTTCAACCGCTTCTTGGACGACCTCGGCAAGAATGGTGATGGAAAGACAAAGGACGAGATGTGCCAAAATTGCATGGGTTTGGGAGCTGTTTCTGGGCAGAAGCTGATAGGTACTTGGATGCTGAGCTCTACGTGAGCCTCAGCCTGGGTCATGTTGTGAACATGTTTGCAGTTTCTATAGTACCACAAGTCATTGCGGGGTTTAGGGTTTAGGGTTGCTATAGACCAGTACAGTAAGGATTTTGTCCGTTTACTCAAGAAAGGATAGTGAATATCATCCAAGAAAATGAGGGACTGCGTCCCTACACGACACCATCTAAACCAGGATTGTATCAGGTGGGATTTTCTTTTGGTTGCGACTGAGTGTATATAGAGTCGCTTAGGAAAGGTGGTGGGTGTATATATGCGGTGTCCTATTTGGGGACCACAAATGAGAATCCTGCCATCTATGCCTTGGATGCTGCCCACACCGTATTGCAGTCTTGCCAAAGATGCGGTTGCAGCACTGTTGGTTATGTTTTTGATTAGGGTCTTGCGCATGGCTGCTTTGCAGTGGAGGCAGTATCCCACCTACTACAGCACTTACATTCATTCCACGAGAAGTTTCATACTACCCAGAAAGTCCAATTCCTTCATTAATGAATGTGCCTTGAATCATGGTAGGGATCCTAGTTTTCAGCATATGTCATACAGCATAATTCCCTAATTAAGGGAGATTAGGATATCAGGCTTTCCCGGTACCGATATTCACTCTGAAGGCCCCCTTGAGCAGGTTTTTGCGTTTTGTGGCTTCCCCTCTAGCAGCAATAAGTTCGGATTATGTTCTTTCCAAGACTTAACCCCCACGCCCGGCTCCTAGAAAGAAGTCCAGACGGTTCAGCAAAACAAATGAAACCCTAGACCCAAACCCTAAAATGTGGTTTTCTCAAAATCAGGGGTACCTTCTTTGGGATCCCTATATATTTATGGTATTTGGGGGTCCCCCTATTTTGGGGAGACTATCACATCTCCAGGAGTTCATACGTGAGCTCAAGGCCAATGACAAAGCGGACATCAAAAGCAAGTCGGTGCATGCCAGGTCAGGGTTTAGGGTTTGGGGTTCGGGGTTTAGGGTTGTAGACTTTAGATTCTAGACCCCCCAAGTACATGCTATTTGAACCCGTAGAGCCCCAAGGGCCAGCTAAGGTTCAGAGTTTTCAGGGTTTAGGGGTTTAAAGGCTTAGGGTTTAGGGGCTTAGGGGCTTTAGGGTTTAGCGGTTTAGGGATTTAGAGGTTTAGGTGTGCAGGGGTTTAGGGGTCTAGGGTTTAGGGGTTCAAGGGTTTGGGGTGTAGGCTCTCGGGTTTTTCCGATATTCATGGAGAATCAAGTCCCAAAAAAGGAAACATGAAATGGACAATTGGGATGGTACAGGAGTTCAGGGTACTGTAGAAGTT